CTGAAGAAATGAGTGACGTACACTCTTCTTTCTTTCATCTTGCTGCATAACAGAACACACATCTTCTGTTGTTGTTGATATGCAGTTTCTCAAGTGTAGGATGGTAATTCAGACAGTTTTCTCCGCTTTTGCAAATCTAGATTCTCTAGCACATCAATGAAAATGTTACCGATGGGCCAAGAAAGGAGTAGCCAGTTCTGTGTAGTTGTTACTGCTGTTCCAACAAGGATGGAAGCCAGTCTCATCCCAAGAATTTGATTAAAGTAAATTTAATTCATCCAAAGATTGAGAATGTGAACATTGTGTATTCTTACAAGAGACTTTGTATTTTCAGAAAGTCAAAATAATTGTTCTTCAGAGCCATTCAGGTCTCCGTCTGAGCACTGTGAACTACCCTCCTCAAGTGGAGCCCATTTCTTTTTCCTGCAAAGCTATGTTCTCCACCCATGTGCCAGTGACTTGAGGGTGTTTTAATTATCTGAATACAAATTAAATATCTATGCCAACTTGAGTTATGATTGCTTTTATTTACTTTCCCAATTGGGGTGCTTTTGTTGGGGGGAGGGGACTGAGGTATGACAGTAACTACAAAGGGAGACCCAATTATTCTTTGAAAATGCCTTTCCTGCAGTCAAAACATTGAAATAGAAAGTGAACATTGAAACTCTACCATATAGGGATTTTTCAACAGCAGACCCAATAATCTATATTGAATGTGAATATTCACATTCACATTCCTGTTTTAAAATCATTTAAACATTAGTTGGTGGGCTGAGTTTCTTTTTATGCACGTGGGTGATAAATTCTAACCATTGAAGAACATCTCTTCCTTTCCCATGCCAGTCCTTTAGACACAGTACTTTATACCATATCAGAGCTGGTATACTGCTAAACAAGCATGTTCCTGTTTTCTTCTCTAAACTCATTGGAAGACTCAGCCCAGCACAGCCAGGACAACCTTGTGTGGGTGGAAAGGTCACCATGTATGTCTCAACACCACAAGCTAAGTCTTGGTGACCACACTGAATAGATGCCTTCCCCCACAACCACAACAGATTGAATCCAAGATTTTGTAATGTGCCAATACTAGTGTTCTTATATCAGACAAAAAGCAAATTTGAAAATTACCATCTACCTGTATTAGGACAATACTGAGATCATTGTGAGGTAGATGGAAGGAAATGGCACAAGGCAAAGACTGGCTTCCTATTCATAGAACAGGTGCTGCACCGGAAGTGGGCGAGGTCAGAGCAATCCTGATGGTAATCCCCTGGGCTGTTTTCTCCAGCACCTTCCTGTGTTTATGAAATCTGCTTTCCATAGTAGAGTGCCCAGGTTTCATACCTGGTTCTTGCTTTTGACTCCAGATTTCTGCCCTGATGGCCTCTGGGGGACGGCTGTGATGGCCACCCGAAGGGTGGATTAAGGCTTGTTCCATCTTTGGTCTCAGATCGGGATGCTGTAGGCATTAGGATGGGTAAACCAACAGGTATCTGCCTGTCTGCTTCTCAAATAAATAAAGCATTTATGAAAGCCCTTAAAATAAAAAGCAAAAACCAGTGCAGCTTTATTGCCAATGCTGTAACAAAAATAGTGACAACCCTAACAAAAACCTGACCCTTTCAGTACTGTCTGGCACAACATCCCAGGGAGCCTTGCATCACCCTAAACCCTAGGGCTCCAGCTCTTTCCCTCTGTAAAACTCCTTGGTTCATTCCCTTTCTGCCGCCCTTGAAATATGGTACATGGTTTGTCTTCTTCGTCAGTCATTTTGGCTTTTTCATTTTAAATCGAGAGGAAGGGCTTAGCAGTGCCCGAGTTTCTTCATCTGTTTTGTAGTTCCCCATGGGGCTTAACTGAGTGGAAAAAGAAATTGGCTCTCGAAACACTACGCTTGTTGCCACTCCTTGCACTAAAGAAGGCACTTCGGTAGGTTGTTTAGCTTTGTTTAAAGGCCATCACATGTTGATAAAAGCTTCAAGAGGAAAGCTTCCTTTGATCACTTTATAAAATTAATGTACTGCAAAACAATTCACATAAGTCAAAGTGACTGTGTGACTGGGATGGCAGTCCTCCCTCTGCTAATCCTGTTCGAGCTGATCTGCATTACAAAAGCATGCCTCTGCAAACAGACTATTGTGACTCACACAGGGACAAAAGGAGAAGAAAGGATTACAAAAATTAGGAACATTGGAGTATTTGTAATATGGATATCATCTGAATTTCACCTTGACCTCAACATAAGAACTTCTGTGTACTTTAGACAGCTCAGAAAAATAACTGGAAGAGCATTTTGGAGCAGAATACAGCATGGTAGATCAAGCAGTGGAGGACTGGTAGGGAGCCAGGAAAATAATACTTTAGGAAACTCAAATGATTTCCTGAACAGTAATGGTAAGATGGTGTTCAGTTTATGATTGGTATCTATTGGGCTTCATTTAGTCCCGCTTCACAGGTGTGGGTGCCCTCCATTTTAGTGACAGTAACAAAGTACATGAGGCTGGGTACTTAATAAAGAAAGAAGCCTTTTGATCTCACAGTTCTGGAAATCCTTGTGCAAGACTCTGGGGAGGGTCTCCTGATGGTAATGTTACAATGGAGGCAGTGTGCACAACAGGAGAATGAGAGAAATGCTGCGTTCCATTCTAACTGCACATTCTGTCAGAAACTGATGCAATGTCACAAAACCTGAGGGTACCACCCTTCACTAGGCTCCATCTCATGAAAATTCCACCGCCTCAGTATTGCTGCATTAGGAGCCAGCTTCTAGCACAAGGACCGTTGGGGGACATAGTCTTTCCCAGCCCATAGCAATGGTCAACATATGGGTTTACCATCCTTTGCGTATAATCGTGATTGGTACTCATGGTTACCCAAGTTCAACTGATGGAAACAAGGTGAGAAATAATATTCTTGGCGGTGTGGCAATACTGAAGCCTGGTGGTGATCCAGAGATAACCTTGCTCTCATGCAACAATGGAAGTAGCCATGGTTGCACAGAACAGGGCCCCAATGTTGGAAAATGCACTTAATCAGCTTAGACCTGACCAAGAGAAAAAAAAATGCAAACTCTTGGTCTGACCATCAATAGCCTGCTTCAGATTTGTGAGGAGGTTGGCCCAGCCTGCATGCTTAAACACTTCTATACCTTGCTGAATCTAACTAAGGCAAATTCTTGCAAAGGTCTCCTTCCTCATGTTTCTGTCTGTGCCGTGACTCTTACTTAAATCACATTTGGAATTCTTTCTTATTATTGGAATGTATGTTCCATAGATAACCCTTCCCATGTGGCTTCTTTTTTATATTTCTGGGTGTCTAACATTCAGGCCTTGAAAAATTGCTCTGTTTTAAAACAGCTTCTACAATTTTTCCTTTAGTGTTGTGCAGTAGGGTTTTTTTTTTTGCATGTTTTTTTTAAGTTTGTTGGTTGTTTTTCCTATACAAGTAGGTACAAATGGCCTAGGAAGAAACATGGAGTTATTGGAGTGTGGAAGGATGAGTAATAGCTTGGAAATTCAGAGTCTCAAAGTTCTGGTTTTGCTATTAACTCATCCTAAAACTTGAATAAGTTGCTTTGTAATCTGTGATCTTATTACTATGCATTTTCAGTGGTATTTAAACCTGCTTACTTCAAATCAGGACACCGTGACAGTGGCACCATTATACAAATGTACAGTAATATTGATCTATTGATCTCTCAACAGCTGGTTCATTTGTAAAGGAGATCAACATTTTTTATTTGTCCCTTAGAGCAATTCTGTGGGAAAGGTGATTTTCTTGTTTTGCTATATAGGAATCACAGCATCCAAACAAAATTCCATGGTTTTTTTTTTTTTCCAGGTACTCTGCTTGCTTATAGGCACATATGAATAAACACTGAAATGGCTGTATACACAAAAAATACCATTTTAGACATTGTCATTCACAATAAGGGACATTTAAAAGGCAAAACTACTGGGGAAAGAACTCACTTGCCCAGAAGAAATTGGGAGTCCATCGTAACCTGGAACAACAATGCTTTCTACTTTTTTTTTTTGTATTCAACTTAGGTCGACTTAGAACTTTGAGCTTTAATATATTTTCCCTCTCTGTTAACAAGAATTTGCAAAAACCTATTGTCTTTAAAACATTTTTGCTATTGTCTTTTTCAATGTGGTGTTTACAATTTATGCAGTTATTTCAGGTGAAATTTCTGTTGACCTTAGCCATGACAGGGCTCCAGGTGCCAGGTGAACTTGATCAGCTGTTAGCCCTTCAGCATTTGGCGCTGTGTTAATGCTTTGCCTGTGGAAACAGGAGGAGCTGGTTTGACAGTGGGTAGTCAACCTCCAGTGGAAAAGTGACATTTGCATGCCCATTTACCCACCTCCAGGAAAATCAACTGTCGTAGCTTTGGGCAGAAGCACTGGTGCCCAGAGCAAAACCACAAGGAGTGTCAAGGTCCAATGAAGAGGTCTTGCCAAGCTGGGTTGTGTAACATCTAAACATAGTGGCTACCCAAAGAGGCTACTCTTATAGGATGTTGATGTGCCATGGGGCCTTCTGGGAAGATGGGTGCCATCATTGTGCTAGCCAGTGTGGTAGCAACTAAGTACCATGTGATCCTGAAGCTCATGGAACCTGGCTGGTGGACTGCAGACCCGAATGTCTGATCATGTGGAAATTTAATTAATTTCCACTTAAATAACCGTATGTGGCCAGTGACCGCCAATTTGATCTGAGGAGTCTGTAACCATTATGCTTCATTTCTGTTACTTAGAAAACTAATTACAAGTAACTTCCAGGAAATTCTGCATTCACTGACTCTGGAGCGAATTGGGTTGTGGGATGAGGTGGGGGGAGTAGGAGAAAGTTTTGCATTGAAAGGAAGGCAGGGAATGAGAGCTGTAACTGTAAGTAGGTGGAATTACAGTGCTGGCCTGTGTGAATGGTGGTGGCTCCTCAGGGAGCATCAGAAAGTGTTTCAGGGTGTGACCCTCTCTCTGCCTTTGTGTCCTCAGGTTCTTTCATGCTGGTGAACACATCTGGGAGACCCGAGGGGCAGATAGCCCACCTGCTTTTACCTCAGCTTAAAGAAAACGACACCCACTGCATCGATTTCCACTATTTTGTATCCAGCAAGAGTAATTCTGCACCCGGCCTACTCAATGTCTATGTGAAGGTCAATAACGGGCCCTTGGGAAGTCCCATCTGGAATATATCAGGAGACCCAACACGCACATGGAACAGGGCAGAACTTGCCATTAGTACTTTCTGGCCTAATTTTTATCAGGTATGTGATGCCTTCTCATTTCATGATATGAAACATTGTCTAACTTCTAAAAATACGAATTCTTGTGGTATGGATGTAACCAGAAAATTTGTAAGAGTGTTTTTTGTATCAATGTAGGTAAAATCTATGCTTTCTAATAAAGAATGTTTTAAGACTCTGTGATGCTAGTAAAAAGTATGACTTAAATTTGCGTATCCAAGTTGTATATTGTTTTAAGAAATAATAATAATAATAATAAAAAGCCGTAACTGCAGTAGGGCAAGAAGTGCTTATCTTCAAGGGTATTTTTACTTTCCTTGTTCAGTAAACTGTCACCCAGAGAGATGGCCTGGGAGTAAAGGCAGATGCGGCTTCTCCTGGGAGTCAAGGGTCATTACAGATGAGCGCCACCTAAATGTCACCCTGTGAAGTACAGTTACCGTCTTCCACCCACAGAAGCAATGGAAGAAAATACCAGAGTCTTCTTGGTCATGAAGGGTTGCCCAGGCCTCCTTTGCTGTTATCTTGGGGAGTCTGTTGAGACTCATTTGTTCACTTTGTGATCCCATGACATGAAGGGAGTGGCCTGGAGCGTTAGGAGGTGGTACAGAAGTCATCTAAGGCAGGGGGCACCTGTGACACAGGAACCTCCTGAGTTGGGATCCCAGATGGGAAACTCATGATAATGGACATGTTTCTTTCTGAATAAAGACCATCAACTTCCAGATAGGAAGTACCATAAAGAGATCGTGATCTTTTGCTTTACTCTTTTCTAATTCTTTTGGCTCACCAAGGAGCCAACTTGCACGTGGATGTAAAATCATTTGTCATGTTTCATTGGGGTGGTTGTCTGGACTTAGGGTAGGACTATCTGGGTGTTTCAACGGCTGGTTTTCTTCGAGATGGTCCTGGATGACGTCCTTAATATGTTCTGCAGGTTTGTTGCTTATCAAGTACTATCTGTCAATCCTAGTCCTTCTACAACTGAATGGATAATGGGAATAAATGGTCTGTAGATCCCATGCTTGACTTATCTCTGTACCCCAGTGCCTACAGAGATTTCTGATATTTCGTCAGTAATGAATTATTGATATTTCATGAGTAATGAGTAAATATTTTGGAGTGGTAGTGAGGAGGTAGTGGAAGCTCCAGTGGTATATGCGTTAATTGTTAAAAAATCTATTTAGAGTGTGCTCGGCAGTAAATTTTTAAAATATTAGAATTTTACATGTATCTACATTTGGCAATTAACGGTTAGGAATTTATCCTAAAATTTTGAAAAGTGCTTGCAGATAATTAAGTACAATGATATTCATAGCAACTTATCTTCTAACAATGAAAAAGCAAAAAACAACATTATTTCCAACAATACAGGATACATTAATTATACCATCTCACTACAAAAATTGTTTTGCAACCATTATGAATAATGCTGTGGAAGATCACTTAAGCTTATATTGTTAAGTGGATAAGTGGATATAAAATAGAGTATTAATTCAAAATACATAATAAAGAATAAAATCTATTCTGAAGCAAATGCATTTAAAGCTATCTCCCTATCAAGTTGGATAACAGGGGATTCAATTTTTTTTTTCATTCTGCCATTTGTCATATTCTAAATTCACCCCAGTATACAGGTACTATTTTTATTTATGAAACAATTAGATTTTAAATGAGCATTTTTTTTCTCAAAAAGAAAATATCCTATTCAATGAATACCTTCTTTTTCTATAAATGTATTGATACTCAATCAGGACTATATTTATAAATTTAGCCTATAGGGAAAAGCTTCCTGTTTTTACAAGTTTAAGGATCGAGCTGGGATCTGGGTGTTACCAAGGTAGCCTGGAGAAGGTCTTTTTGTCTGGCACAGACTGAGAACCTGAATGGGATGTAAAGGCTCCTTCTAGAAGAGCTCTGGAACATTCTCATTGCCTTTCAGACCCTGCTGTGGGCATCTACTGGTTGGGGACCATGAGTAGAAAGTTGTCCCTCATCTTTGTGCCGATGTCCTTTGCTTTGGCCTTTGCAGCATCCAGCCTCAACCTCCAGAGTGAGTTCTCCTGAGAGCCTTCCTGGTCTCCGGAGCCTCAGCATGCAGGTTGTCATGACAATGGCTGCGTTCCAGATCTGGGTTTTCTACTCTCCTTTACATGCTTAGCTCAGACAGTAGTGCGTTAAAGGGTGTTTTGACTTAAAAACACTCTGGGGAGACCAGGCTTAACTAAAGGAATTACCAAACTGCATCGTGAGTGGGATAGTCCTCTGGACCTGGACAGGTTCATTTTTAATGAATTCCTGCTTGACTTTGGATAAAATCTTTTACCTTCCCAATTAAGAATGCCTTATCCTGACCCTTTGACCCCTGTACTTGCCACTGTAATCTCTGGTACGTCACAAGTACTGTGTAATTTGTCAAATTAAAGTAGGTTTCTATCCTTGTAGCTTTGGGTTCTCTGCAAAATGTGTGCCGTCATTGTCTTGTACCAGAGAGCTAGTAGCTTAAACAATAGGCTTTATTATTCACACATTTGGAGTCAGGAGGTCTGAGGGCAGGGCACCAGCATGGACAGCTGGATGGAAGCTCTCACCTTGGTTTACAGATGCCTGTCTTGCTATTGTGTCCCCACATGGCAAGGGAAGTGGGACAAGTTAGCTGTCATTAGCTTCTGCATACTGGAATGCTGATCCCACTGGGAGGGCCACATCCTGGTAAGGTCCAAGGACCTCCCCAAAGCCCAGTCTCCTAATACTGGGAGGTGTGGGGAGGGGTCAACATGAATTTTGAAGGGATACAAACCTTCAGTTCAAAGCAATGATCGACTCAGTAGAAATAGCTTCATACTGTGAATTAAAGGTGAAATTGTAGATTTTTTTATTACAGTGTTGGTGAGTTTTTAAGAACCTGTTTATCAACAACTGTGAAGGGTATAGAAGCCCTAAAAACTCCCCCTGGTTCATTCAGTTCCTGAGCACCCCAACTAAGCATCCGCCTTTTGAAAGTTGGAATGCATGCTGAAGGCGTTAGTTCCCCCTTTCTGCTGGGAAGTGAACTTGTTGAAGTCACTACTGTCTTTGCAACATGAACTGAGGGCAAATGGTAGGATATAAATGACACTGGAGAAATGAGAGAACAAATTCCTGAGGCTAAGCCCCAACACCACCACCACAGAAAACCTGAATCTTCTTTCTTGTTCTAGCAGTACAAGGAAAACAAATGTATTAACAGGTATGAACTAAGAGAAAAGCACCTACCAAGTGCTGTGTCCACCCCAACTTAGGGGGTCAACCTCATACAAACCATACAGCATAGTACCTGTCAGCCGAAACCCAGCAGAGGGTTTCCCCAGGCCCAGCACAAGGTCTCCTGAGGGGAATCCTGCCAGAGCGTATCTACTTTTAGTGTAACTTTCTGCATTGATTTCTCCTTAAAGACTTGTCTGCTAGCCCACAGATATGAACTGGTCTGCAAAACATGCAAGTTTTTTTGTTACTATATGTGATGTCTGTGTGTGATTTTTGTTAACATCCAAGTGATGCATTGTTAAAAGACAGATGAGCTGTACCTGAGACTGATGTTGAAGAAAAGAGGATAGAATAGATCATGTGGTTTCCCTAAGAGACTCTGTCTAGGAATACATGAATCAGGGTCCACAGGATAGTACTCCTGAATTACTGTGATGCCTGCGAGAGACATAATAAATATCCTAAAAAATGAGTTTTGTGTATATTTGAAATACACGTGTATTAAAATGTTAATTTCTTCAAAGGTAGCTTTTCCATTAGATAGTAGTTTTTATATGACACAAGTTGAATAAATTAAATATTTCAAAGCTGTTTCATATTATGTTACAGTTTGTATCATAATATGAGTATTGCACATTTCCTATTCGTTGTCTGAGAATGATCCACATTATAGCATAACTAAAGACAACACTCTTTGGCTTAGACAGAATAGGATTTGAATGTCATTACTTGCTTATTTGTCAGTTTGGGCAACAGGGGCTGATTGTAGCATAGCTGGTTAAGCCACTGTTTGTAATGCCTACATCACACATGAGTACCAGTTGGAGTCTTGGTTACTCCACTTTTAATCCCACTCGCTGCTGATGTGCCTGGGAAGGCAGTCAAAGATAACCTAAGTACCTGAGTCCCTGCTACCCATGTCGGTGACTGGAATTGAATCCGGGGCTCTTGGTTTGAGTCCAGCCCAGACCTGGCTGTGGTTTCCATTTGAGGAGTAGTGAGAGAATAGAAGACCAATTTTTCTCTCTCCCTCACATCTCTAATTTTTCTATCTCTCTCTCTGTCCTTACCTCTCTCTTTTCTGTATTCTGTGTCTTTCAAATAAATAAATCTTACTAGAAATAAGAAGAGGCTTGGGTAACTGTTTTAAACTTTATGAACCTCATGTTCCTACAGACCTGGATATAGTGACTGTGCAGGATGTAAAGATGCAAGAAAAACTCAACTGTGACATGCGAGCCTCTGATGGTAGCACTTGGTTGAGCCATCTTTAAGATTTGTGAAAGAAAATAAAAATGGGGAGCCGATCATAGTTGAGAGCTTTTTGCCTGCTAAGGCACTTCCTAAATGTGTTGAGTGGGATATTCTTGAAAAAGCATTCCAAGAAAAGTCCCTGGAGAAAAAGAGGTGAACCAAGTTCCTTCCCATTGGGAGGTTCCCAAACTGCTATACTCAAGGATTGGGAAGGCGAGGTGCCAGGGAGTCCAGGCTCGTCCCCCTTCTCTGGCTTCATATCAGAACAAAGTTCTCTGCATTTGACGATGATGCTGTGTTGTCCGTTGTTTTCCTTTGGAAGCTCTGAGCGTTAGTTAGAGTTTGTTTCTTACTTGACTTGGACCACACAATCTGGGTAACTTTTTTCATTCTGATTGGAGTCAGGAACAGGGGACGTTTTCAATCAAATTAGACGCAACTTCTTGATAGACCTTTGACATGCATAAAACCTTCATGCTCATCTCTTATTTTCATAATGATTCCCCTAATGTGCCTGCTGC